TGATATCCTGAAGTTCTGATGTCCTGAAGTCAGGACACAGAGAAACCATGATACAGGAGCAAAATGTTCAGTGTACAAATACCAGACCTGAAACCAAAACTCTTCCACAGGCAGAAGGTCTACCTGCAGCTACATTAAAACTTATTCTCTGTCTTCATGGAGTCCTTTTCCTGTCACTACACCTTCACCTGGGTGCCAAGCGCTCATTTCCCCATAGGCCCAGCCCTGCAACCAGCTTTAAGTATCCAACACCCAGTGAACTCGGCAGCCACCTTCTTAAGCTTAATGTTATTCACCTATCTCAGTGATTCATTAGAGCAGGACCTACACTGAGAATCTAATTAAGACCAAAGTTCCACATTCATTTCCAGAGCAGTAAAAGGCAAGTTATGTAAACTCACAGCAAGTACTTCTTCTTTTACCAGAAGAGCAAGATAAAAGCATAAAACACATCCATAGGCAAAACAGCAAAGGAGGGGAGCGAAGGCTTTGGCAGACAGTACATAAGAGAAGGAAGTCTAGAAAGATACTTTTATTTGCATTTCTTACATTACATGCTCTGGACTTTCCCTCCACCTGGAATACATTAGAAGGAAGTAGAGCGCCCAGTGGGATGGCTACTAGACACCTCTGAGACAACAGCAGCTCTTTCTAACCAGAAAAATCATCTGCTTTGCTCCCCTTATTCTCAGCCTCCCATTTCTCTCTCCCCACTGCCCGGAGGCTGGACTTCTCTCAGAGGTGTGTTTGGCACCCAGGCTCCCAAAGGAGTCAAGCAGAGGCTGGGAGCACACCGAGCCCAGCTTCCCTCTGCACACAGTTCCCAGACTTACACCCAAATCCCTCCTGTCCAGTGCTGCTGCTTCCAAAATCCTCATCCCAGATCCTCTGAGCAGACTAAGGAGAATACAAGTTGAGGCATGGTGAAAAGGAGGACAGATGTCCGTGCATGGGAAAAGAGGGAGTCTTTTAAGGTCTGAGATGGCAGATTTATCAAATGAGGATGCTTCTAGCAACCTGTTCAGACAGCCCTACAGTCTACAACTCAACCCACGTAAGTGAGATGTGTACACCAACTCTGCCTCACAAAGTTCGGGGTAATAGTTGGAGATAAAGTTGGTTTATCCTGGGACAAAGGATTTTCCAAGGAACAGCTGCTGAACTGGCACCCAAACATCACTTGTACTAAGCCTTTTATTCTAGGTTGTATTTTTGCTTAGCCAGTGTTTCCATTGTGAGATTTCCCAGATCTAATATAGCAAAACACGTCTGCAATATTTAGCTCTGCTTTCTTTTGGGAGTTACTAAAATAAAGTGCATTGTTAACAGAGTGTATTATTTGCTTACAAACAAAGCAATGCCAATTAAGAACCTCTCTTTTAATAAGATATTTGTAACTCTACACTGGACCCTACAATGCTGCTTAGCTTATCAGAGAACACACCAGCTTCTGATTTAAAGAGTTTTGTCTGTGCCTGGCAAATTTTATGCCCGGTCCCAAAGCAGACACCAATTTGTCTCTTACAAGCCTGTTATTTATGGACTCTCAATGCCATCCTCTATATATCCTGCTACAAATTTCCATGTACCTGCTAATTTATAACAAGGGCAAGATCCCTGGGAAGATTTCCTTCCTAGGGATTGATGGATGGATAAATAAATAAAACAAATATCAAAAAGGAAATAACTTGATTGTATTAGATAATATTAAAGTAAATGGATGTCATGTTCTGAACGTTATGTAAGTAAAGCTGAGCAACACTGAAATATGACTGTCAGGGTGATTAGCAAGGGCGAAAGAGGAAAAAAAAAACTCCCAAAGAGGAGAATGTGCCTTATCAATGCCGTGCAAATTTCCTCAACCACTACAAACGAAGAAATGTGCTCCCTATACATGAAAAAAACAATGGATTTTTAAAGGCTGAAAAAGTACCTTCATTTACAGTTTCTAGAAATCCAAAACAGCAGATTGTAACAAAACCAAGCAGAAGTTGAGGGTTAGGCGAGCTAAGTGAAACTATGAGAGCTGAATAACAAAGAGGAACCCATCCCCTGGCCGCTGACAGCAGCGATGAGGTACAGGTGTGACAGGCATTGCCTGGCCAGTTCAGGCAGGGATGGTGCTTTTGTAGCAGAGCTGAACATGACCTGTGCAAGAGGTACCTCTGTGGAGTCCTTTGCACCCCTAATGCATCAACCTGGATTGGCCTATCCTTACTGATAGCTGTGTTATAGAAATTATAAGTTAACATGTAATTTATACATGCAGCTTAGGGCTATCAGGAGTGTATTGACTCCATAGGATGATTTGATAAGGCCCTAGCTGCTACAAGAGATAGTCACAAATGGTCCAGTGCATGCAGGGTCTCGCTATCTGGGACAAATCAACAGGACAGCCATAAAACAAATACAATACACATAAGCACACTGCTCAGGAGACTCTCTAAGATATATATTCTGATTAATGTCTGGAATGGCAATAGTGCATGTTATTGCTTCCTTGAGTCCTACATGAGGTGCTAGAAGGGGATCTCAGGGCCGATGTCACGCTAAGGGTATGTGGCGGAAGGAGGCCCTGCTGTTGTGTCATGAGGTCCAGAAAGGATCCTGGTGGATCACCGGTGATCACACCTGGCTGTGACTGGATCCAGTCCTAGTCCCAGATCTAGTCAATGGTTTATGCCTAAATGATTTTGTCTCCTTCCCTGCTTGGGAACAAGAGTGGCCTAGGCCCATCGGCCCTCCGATAACTGGAGGTCTCCTCCTCCAAACCAAGGTTTCTGAATATGAGATCTATACTTTGGGTGAGATGGGACTAAGTCATTATATCGTGTGCCCAACGGCTCTCAACAAGACTTGTTGCACTGTCAGTCAAGAAAAGAGGAGGAGAGGGTGATGCCAGTGCTGGGTACAGGGACAGGTTGCGCTCCTGGCCTCAGCTGCAACAACACCGGGCCGTGAGGCTTCCTCCTCACCCCAGACATCGCTTAGCTGCTGGAGCTGCAGGGGCCTCATACATGCTGATCGTTCAACTGCAAACCTCCAACATCTGGCCTATGCTTTGGCCAGATGAGCAAGATAAGCCTGTCAATCAGCTCACATTCCTGCATGTCAATTAGCTCACGTTCCTGCTCAAGTCTGGTCTCAGCAATTCTCCGCTGATTTACGGTCATTTGGTATTTTGACACCAACAAGCCTGGCGTTATTCCGCAGAAGGTCATCCCACTTTTCTGTGGCTTGGCAACAAGCAACCCCCTGAAAGCTGACCTTGGGTCTGACTGTCAGGTAAGTGCTGGAATAGATTGCAAACTGGGGGGCATCCACAGATGCCAGTGGCAGCTCCTTCTCTAACACCACAGGGCTCGGCACCCTTTGGGATTAAATTCCTCCCTGTTTCAGAGGAGGTGATGAAGGCTTCAGTCCTGCTGTGTGCACAGGATAAATCAACCTTTGGAAACGTTTGGAAGAACTTCTGCAAATAAACCTTGCTATGACCAATGCACTTAAAACATCTTCAGTACCTGCAGTATTAAACACTGCCTCTCCCTCTGAAATGCGACTGGGCTACCACAAAGAAGATGCCATGAAGAAAGAAAAAAAAAAAAAAGAAAGGAAAAAAAAAAACATAAAAGCACTGAAATCATGTAGGAACAAACACAAAGAGGCTGCTACCCAATAAGGTGCAAGAGAAAACGATTAAATCACATGAAAAACCTGTTGCTACCACTTCTGCATTTGGCCAACGAAGAGGGATTGAGAGGCCCCACTTGGTAAATATATACTCTCCTTGGATCAAAGGGGTAAGAATGGAAGCGAGTCCTCAGGCTTTATGGACCTGATCCAGTTGGTTTTTCTACTAATTTCTGTGGGCTTTGGCTGGTGTCCAGGCAGCATAAACAACCAGGACCAGGGCTAGCCCCGCCTGACAAATGAAAGCCCTGCTAGCACCGCCAACTTTTCCTCTCTGCCCTAAACCTGCATTTTCTGCTCAGCTCTACAATGCTACGTGAGCGGCAAGATGCTCGCTGGCACCCAGGAGGGTTTTAACTGAGCCCAGGAGCTCACATCACTGCCAAAGGATGTCTGATACGTCAGCTCCTGACACTTTCCATCAGTCCCCGTTCACGTGCAGCCGTCCTTGCATTTGGCAATAGGATGGGGGTGTTGTCCCCCAGCCCGGACCATGGTCAGAGAGTTTCCTACGGGCTGTGGGGACTGAGCAGCTGCTGCCTGGCTCCTTTCCCTTGGGGAAGTACTGAAAACGGAGCCTCTTCCTAATGGTACTGGAGTCTTTGTCTTGCCGAGGCTATGGGGACAGAGAGATGAAAGCAGGGCATTTGCTTGTGATTTTCTTGCTTTCATGAGAGCCTTCAGAAAGCCAGGAGCTTTCAGAATAAAGTTTCTGGGGCAGTTCTTCCTGTTGCCTTGCCTCGAGTAATCACTCAGGGCTTGTTTACACTAGAGAGTTGTACTACCAGTATTTTATACAACTGCACTGAAATCAGCACAACACCTGTATTGTGTCTATCGCTACCTTGGTGCGAAGGCGAGCCTACTATTTCTGAGGCCTTGAAAAGCAAGCCAACAATGAGCCAAATGGATAAGGGGAGAAAATGAAAATGCTGCCGTGTTTCTTGACATTTCAAACTCGGCAATGACCACAGATGCATTGTGAAATTGTAACTGGTTTACTAAAAATAAAATACGGTTAGATTGTAGATAATTATTCCTAGCTTACAGAACCCAAACAGGAATTGAATCCTTAGTTCTTTTTTCTATTATTATTCTCTTTTTCCTCCCCTTATTATTAAAGGAGAGAGGGAAAAGTGAACAATGTATTACACAAAATAAGGGATTTATGCCAAGCAGCATAATTTGTACAAACACAAGAGACTGCCCAATATTAGTGTACAAAGAGAAACTCTACAAGTCGTCACATCCACACAGAGGGCTTCATGGAAGCTGCACTTGCTTGTTGGAGAAGAAACTGCTTCACTTACAGTGGAGCCTGTGTTGTCTTCAGCACTGTCTTCGGAAGGACAGAGTTCCCATCCCAGGATGGTGTCTGTGATCTGAACAAACAGCTGAAGGTCTCAGTTTTAACAAACAGTGATGGATTTAACCCCAGCACCTTTAACTCTCAGTGGAGTTGGGCACCTCTGCATCTGGGCTGGAGTTTCCCAATTTGAACAACACTGATAATGATATTACAGCAGGGCTTTGTGACAGCGCAGTCGCTGACACTCAAAACCCACCCAAATATCCTGGCATTCACTGCCAATTGAATTAAACCATCAAGGTCTGTGAGAGGGAAGTGGCTGTTGGCAAAATAGACACTGAATTCTGTGACAGAGAGCCTGAGGATTAAATATCAAAGAATTAGACCAAATTACTAACAAATATACCAACCGATAAAAGTGATGTTTTTAGGTGCTAATGCCACTACTGGGCATTGGGGAAAAGAAAAAAAAAAGAGACATATATTAAGAAAAAAAGGTGCTCTCCTAGATATTATGATCTAGACAGGCAACCTAGAGGAAGGAAAAGAAAGGAGTTTCTCTGCATTACTTGTTGGAAGCAAGATACTTCTGACCAGAGCCACGCAGGGTGCTTACAGCAGGGCTCCGATCCTCTCTCTGCTCACCCGAACCCAACAGCGTTGCAAAACTCACCCTTTTCTGTTTAAGCATGGCTAAAACCTTACACAAAAAGAAATACACACGTGATAAAGTCAGCCTGGACCTGGAGCCCCGCTCCAGCGCTTCAGGTCCGAGGCCACCTCCACCTGCCGGGGGACCCAGCCGCGGGTCCGGCTGCAGCCGGGGGGCTCTGGGAGACTCCCGGCGGGGGTTGGGGAGGGGGGGAAAGTCCCCGTTCCCAGTCCCAATCCCTATCGCGATCCCGGTCCCGATCCCGATCCCCAGCAGCGCCAGGGAGCAGCTCCGGGCTGCGGTGCGGGCAGCGGGAGCCGTGCCCGACTTCTCCCCGTTTGCTGGGGCGGGAGATCCGCCACTTTATTTATTTATTTATTTATTTATTTATTTATTTATTTATTTATTTATTTATTTATTATCACTCTAAAAGCTCTCACTTTTGATGGGATTACGGCTAATTAAAATTTAAAATTCAAATCAACTATCGAAAAGGTCATCTCAAAAAAAAATTAAAAATAAAATAAAAATAAATCCGCAGGCATCTGGTTGCAAAACTAAAGGTAAAAAGAGGGGGAGCGCACTGCCGGGGCTCCTCGGTCCCGGTCCCCGTCCCCTCTCCGCGCCTGCCCCCGGGGGGTGCGCGCCCCGCTCCGCGGCCGAGTTGGGAGCGGGACGGCGCCGGGGCCAATGCAGCGGCCGGGCGGGGAGGGGAGGAAGGGAGGGGAGAGGAGGAGGAGGAGGAAGAGGAGGGCAGCGGGGAGGAGGAGGAGGAGAAGGAGGAGGAGGAGGAGGAGGGGAGGGCGCAGCCGGCACCGCGCACCGGCCGCCGGGGCTGGCCGGGGCGCCGGGGGGCTATTGTGTGCGCCGGGCGGGGACGCACGCTTGCACACGCGTTCCCCCCCCCGTTTGCACACTCGTTTGCACACTCACCACCAGCACCCCCCCGCGGCTCGGGAGGACAAATATCGCGAGAGCGGCCGGCGACCAACCTGCTCCGCAGCCCCGCCGCGCCGCCGCGCCCGCGGAGCCCCCGCGCAGCGCCCGCATGCAGCCGCGCAGCCCCGCCGCGCCTCGGTGAGTAGCGGGACCCCCCCAAACTGCCGCCGCCTCCCCTTCCCCTGGGAGGACGAGGGGGAAAAACGCTCCCTGCAAAGTTGGGGAGTGCTCCCGGAGGCTTTTTGGGGGTGCTCGAGGGGTAGGGGGGCGCCCCGGAGGGGTTGCGCGGGGTCCCCCCCTCTCCATTTGGTGCGCGGAGCCGGGCGCAGGCGAAGGTCACGGCGGTGCTGCGGGGAGCAACTTTGGGGAGGGAGGTGCGGGGGGGGGGGGGGGGCACCGCTGGGAAGGGGGGGGGCGGGCTCGGGGCAAGTTTGTGGGATTTAATCGCGGGCTATAAATGGGGCTGCTGGAACTTTAAAAGGCAGCAAGCTGTGGTTGGCTGGTAGCGAGATTTGGAGTAACATATGGCATTAAAAGGCGCACAGCTGGAGGTAGCATTTCCATCGCAGTGAAGTCAGAGCAGCTGACTCTCCAGCTTGCGGTGTAATTAGCAAACCGAGCACTCCTCCTTCCCTCCCAGCCTCCCTCCCTCCAGCCTCCCTCCCTCCCTCCGCGCCTCGCTCGCACTCGCGCACGCACCCGCGGCCGCTCCGCGCTCCCCCTGCCCGGCTCCGCGCCCCGGCCCCGCGGGAAGGTAAGCGCCCGGCGGGCAGCCCCAGCCCTCCCGCCTCTTATTTTCCTCCTTGCCCTTTAATAACTTCAACGGAAACTTTTTTCTTTTTTTTTTTTTTTCCGCTTTTTTTTTTTTTTTTTTTTTTTTCCCCCTTCGTTTTGCATGCGGGGTGCTGCTGCTGCTGCTCTGCCTCCATCCCCGTCCTCCTCCTCCTCCTCCGTGCCTGGGAAAACGCCGCTTCCCCGGAGTGAGCCGCGGCTGTTTTGTTGTGATTCTGTGCATGAGGAGCGGGGATAAAGTTTAAATTGTGTGTGTGTGTGTGCGTGACGGGGGTAATGCGCTTTATTAAAAGATGCCCTGAGTTAGCGTCGCTGGGAAGAGCCTGAGAGTTCGTGCTTTTTATTTATTTATTTTTCTTGCCTCTTCTTAATTTCATTAAAGTGCTTAGTGGGAGAAACAAAGGTTGGAGGGGCTGCTGCTTTACTAGCTTTTGTTTACTTACAATCAAGTTTTTCCTGTTCGGAGCAGGTGCGAAAGGATGAGAAGCATGTTGTGTTGTTTTCTTCTTTTTTTTTTTTTCTTCTCCCCCCCTTTAATAAAACTATTACAGACAATTAACAGTAAACGTTATCTCCAAGGCTGTTTCTTTGGCTTGTGTTACCAAAAAGCCGATCTGTTTGTTACAGCTGCTAGGAGGCTTTAGTTTACAGTAGCATTCAAGTTTTTCCTGTTTTGAACAGGTTATGAAGGAAGAATGGAGTTTCCAGACCATAGCCGCCAGTTGCTGCAGTGTCTGAGTCAGCAGCGTCACCAGGGCTTCCTGTGTGACTGTACTGTTTTAGTTGGAGAAGCTCAATTCAGAGCTCACAGAGCCGTTCTTGCCTCTTGCAGTATGTACTTCCATCTTTTCTACAGGGACCAGTTAGACAAAAGGGATATTGTGCATCTGAACAGTGACATTGTCACAGCCCCTGCCTTCAGCCTGCTGCTCGAATTCATGTACGAGGGAAAGCTGGAATTCAACAGTCTCCCGGTGGAAGATGTGCTGGCTGCGGCTAGCTACCTCCACATGTATGACATTGTGAAAGTCTGCAAGGGCAAGTTGAAAGATAAAGAATTATGTCCGGAGGAGAAGATTAATGATGAGGTGGCCGGGTTGGAGAAAGCGGAGCATTTTCTAGATGCCGGAGCACCCCTGGTCCACGAGTTTGACCCAGGAAACAAACAAAAATTCAGCGTTGCAGAATACGACAGAGCGGCAGGCAAAGAAAAGGTCAGCAGTCACCCCGCCTGGTCCTCTGATCATATAAGTGTCAGCTCTGCGCCGACAGAGGCAGAATCGTGCGCCGCAGCAGCTGGAAAAACAAAGGCTAATGTCAATAGTTCCACAGGACCTTTGTCCCAAAGGTCTGTTAACCATACCCTGGCTTCGGGTGATGTGGACTGCGCGCTGGATTTGTCTTTCAAGCCCGTGCCGGGGAGAGATTCCTTACACCCCTCCTATGTCTTTGGACAGCTGGCTTCCGACAGCCAGCAGCAGGGTACCGAGCCACTTGTTAAAGATGAACAAGACTTGCTGTCAGATCAGGAGGACAGCGAAGCCAGGAGTCCGGAGAGTCAGCATTTTGGGAATTCAGCCAAAAGCCTAGTGACAGGGTTAGGACACATGTTCGCGGGGAATGGCAGCTCTCATGCCCGAGAGGAGGATATAGATCAAGACCGAGACGAGAGCGAGGATGACATGGATTCGTCGGACATCTCCTCGGGCGTGCTTGTGCCTCCCGGGCATATCTGCATTTGCCCCCTGTGCAGCAAGGTGTTCCCGAGCCCGCACATCCTTCAGCTGCACCTCAGCTCCCACTTCCGCGACAAGGACGGCTCGCGGACCCGGCTGTCGCCCGACGGCTCAGTGCCCACCTGCACCCTCTGCGGAAAGACTTTCTCCTGCATGTACACCCTCAAGAGACACGAGAGGACTCACTCGGGCGAGAAGCCCTATACCTGCGGCCAGTGCGGAAAGAGCTTCCAGTATTCCCACAACCTCAGCCGCCACGCGGTCGTGCACACCAGGGAGAAGCCCCACGGGTGCAAGTGGTGCGAGAGACGGTTCACGCAGTCGGGGGATTTATACAGACACATCCGCAAATTTCATTGTGGCCTTGTAAAGTCCTTGGTGGTTTGAGACACGTCGTTTCTCTCCTTTCCCCCGCGCCCCCCGGCCCTTTTAAAACAGGAAAAAAAAAGGCAGCATCTGAATTTTTTTTTTTTTAATTTTTTCCTTTTTCTTTTATTTTGGTGATATTCACTTCAGGTATATGATCTTTAAAAGATGCAGAGGTATACACTCCAGAGGCCTTTTAATGCAATCCTTCCACCTTTCCATCTCCTCTGTCCCCTGCCTCCTTCCCTTCAGGTCTTCTTTTGCGCACCCATGCTACATTATTAATGTGAAATGATCTAAGTAATTCTGCAATGATTTAGCATCTGTTTTCATGCTGGAAGTACTTGCTTCGTGGTCAGGGTGTGTTTTGTGTTTTTTGTTTTCTTTTTATTTTTAGTTTGAAGAAAGATTGCTTATAAGTAAATTCCGGAGAAATACTTGGATCCCATTAAGCTCCCCTGATGCCGTCTGCGTAGCGCGTAGAAACATCCGAAGAGACGACCGATGGCTTAAATACATTTCAGCGCAGGGAAATTTCTCTGCGTGTATCTCCAGCAGGCTGTAGTCTTATTTCATAGAGCTGGAAGAGACCTCAAATTGGCCCAAAAGATAAAGGGGAAGCGGGGAGAATTTCTGGATACACCTTTGGTACTAGTCACTTTTTGTTGTTGCTGTTGGCTTTTTTTTCTTTTTTTTTTTTAATTCTATTATGTTGGAATCCTTCTGCAATCAGTCCTGCAATCTGAATGAGAAGTTTTTGCCTCGAGGCTTGCCTTAGTTTCCCTTCCCACCCATGCGCTCGCCCACGGCAGGGCACGGAGCTGCTTGGTGGCTCGAAGGAGCCCGTCTGCAGCGGGCTCTCTCCTCGGCTGCCGAGGGATGTGCGCTAGCACAGGTCCGAAATCCTGCACTCCGTGAACGTTTGCATCCCACATTGGTGTGCAGGGGTGACCCCACTCCTGGTAGGAAGGTGGCAGCAGGGGGCTGGGGTGGCCCCGGTGATGTGAAGGGGCCAGCGCCCTGGTCTTGCCTTGTCTGGCTGCTGGGATCCCTCTGCTCCAGGCACCCGGTGCTGAGCATCCGAGGAGATGCCCTGCTCGCTGTTTCCTCTGAGAAGTTTGGTGGGAGGCTGCCGTCGGCAGCTCAGGGTTTTATTTCTTGTTTTTTTTAAATGAAGTTGGTAATCCCTCTGGGCCCAGGTCCGTGCAATCCCTGCTGCTAAGGGGCAGTTGGAAGAGAAGGCGCTGGAGGGAAAGTGTGGCCCAACTTTTCCCCCCACCCTGCCAAATCACCACCTTTCTCCAGGGAGGTTTTTGGATCTTGGGGTGGTTTTATCTTTCACTTTTTAATTATTATTGTTCGCGTTGTGTTTTTAGTTTTTTTTAATTTTTTTTTTTTGTCAACCGAGGCTGCCTGTAACCATAACCAGTTTTACTCCAAACACAGTAATTCAATTACTTGCCTAATAGAGCATCCTTTGGGCTGTGCATGTCAGTAAATATCGGATTATTCCTTTGCAGTCAAATTATCCATTCAGGGTACATGTATG